AATTTCACACCACACCAATCATTTTCCTTTTACAGATTTCTTTTCTTTTTTAAACTAAGGTTTTTAAATAATGATCAGTACAGTACAAAGCTTAAAATATTATCAACATTTTCAACAATACAAAGTCAGCAGATGGGAGTTGGGAAGGGGATGGTTAATATGTAACACTCATACCCTTCCCTGTTTCCCAGGGAAAAATAAAATACAAACTCTTTTGTATTTCAGTTTAGTAACAGTGCTTTAAAAATAATCTTGTCAGTAAAAGATAGAAATTGCAAGGCACATGAGGAGCCCGTCCTTGCCTTGTTACACAAATCACTAGGCATAAATACAAGTCTAAGGCACCTCTCTCCATCCTCCTCTTCTGCTCCGTACACCAAGCAAATCCTCTCAGTGGGTAGCAGCTGTTAAGAGCAACCACAGACCAAAGAGGCTCCCTCTGAGCTTCAGGTTCCTTCAGGATGAATCCCAAAAAAAGGAATAGCGTAAGGCACACTGGGATGAATTCTCAGGAGTTGTCCTGTACAGACCCAGGTTGCAAGATCTGCAAAAAATACTATCTCAGGACCAGAGAATCCCGGAGGAGAGGGTTAAGATTTGGTTCCTTCACAATCTCAGATGTGCTCAAGCTTTGGTGGTCAGCTCTTCACCAAACCTTGCCACTGGTAGACTCCTCCCAGCCATACCTCCTTAGAGGAACACCAGGATGGAAGGAGGTATGCTCCAAGTAGTGAGCCCAAGGAGAAGACCCTGAGAGGCTCTCAGACAAGCTGAGCATTTACCACAGTGGCACTTTTACTCTCTCTGGACCCAGCCCTGATCTCCCCTAGATCAAGGGTAGGGCTTTCTGCAGGGCATCAGCAACCACCTTCCAGTCCTGGCCCAGCAAACTGCACAGCATGTGGAGTCTACTCAGGTAGGCAGCCAGGTGCATAAGGCACAAGGATAAAGTCCAGGGATGAGGGAAAGAAATAAGCTGGTTGGAAGAAGAGGAGGAGGATGGAGATAAGGATGAAGCAAGCTCCAGTGTTGGTGAGCCCCTTGTGACACAAGGGTGCATCCTCACAGCAGCAGCGATCTGTATTGAAATTCCCTGCTAAATCAACCCATCATAGTAACCAGGAGGTCAGCTCCAGGTCTGAGTGCAGGGCCACGCAGGGACGTGAGTGGCTTCACCTGAGGGGTAATGTAAGAATATGTAAAAACACCACCACTGTCACACAATTGCTGCAGAAGGAGAAGTTTCACTTCTGCTGGACGAAGGAGGAGAAGACACATGACCAGAAATACCTCAGAAGAGCCATGTTGATACCTCCTCTCCCTGTCCCTCAACTAGATGGCATTACTGTACCCATCCTCCTTTGACAAGGCCAGGACATGTTATCTATTTTCAAAACCTTAGAGAAGGAAACACCTGGGTGATCCCTTCCTTTGGTACCAGTATAACTGTAGGTAGCAGCAGAGCAAGGTTTGCTATTAGCAGCAATGCCCCATTCCCTCTCCATTTTAGCCCAGAAAGGAGCTCTGGACCAGCCTGGTTTACTCCCCTTCTTGCACAGGAGCCCACTGATACCATCCAGCCAGATCCACACTCAGCAGCTTATTCTGCTTTACCTACCACAAAAACAAGGCAAATTAAGTTGTGACAAAAAGCACTGCTCCCACTGGATGTCTTTCCCCAAACTGGGAGAAGATCCATGAGCAAAGCCACGGAGACCATGGAAGGAGCAGTCCATCGGTGCAGCTAAGCAGAGGAACTGCTGCTGGCCTCCACTTCGGTCCTTCCCTGCAGGCAGCTGTGTTGCCCAAGTGAGACAGCTGAAAGTTAAAACCAGCAGAAAATGACATTTTTTCCATAGGATTGGTTTTTTTACTGGTACGTCTCCTGCCACTGGCTCACTGTGTGGTCAAGATGAGCTTCTGTGCAAGGGAGGGAGAATGACAATGTGGAAGTGGGACCATCTCCACTTCCCGCTCCCCTGAGGCAAATGGACTGTTAGGTCAGCATGGCTGTACTGTCCAAATACACCGTAGGAAATGAAGTCATTAATTTCTAAGCTGGACTGGATGTAAACCAGGAGGCCTAGAGTGCTGAGAAAGGGTGGACTAGATGACCTCCTGAAGGCCTTCCTATGATTTCTTCTCTTGTACACAAACCTTCCTTCCTTCTCCCTTTGTATTTCATTTGTCAATAGGGCCATGAGTTTCAAATCCACAAAACACAGGACACAGCAAAGCACCTATTAATAAATCTGTTTTCAGAGATGCTGTTGTCTGGCCCACCTTGCTCCTCCAGCAGCAAAGCACTGTTTCCTTCAAGCTAATATCAACCCAACTAGGAGGCTCTGCAGATATAAAAGCCAAAAGCAAAGCCTTTCTGGATAAGAAATCATGCACACACACACACACACATCTCAACAGTTAGAAACCAGATGAAGTGCAGAATTCAGTGCTTGTCATGACAAATCATATCCCCAACCCTCAACTCTGCCTGCTCAGAACCAGCAATCACCATTTATTTACCTGCCCTTGGATTCAGTGAGACAAACCCGTGTGGCTGGAATAGATCCCATGGCTTCCTCGCTTTCAGCAAAGATTTATACCTTCTAGGAATTTGCCAAATGTTCATAGAAGCACAGAATGGTTTGGGTTGGAAGGGACCTTAAAGATCATCCAGTTCCAACCCCCCTGCCAGCAGCAGGGACACCTTCCACTAGACCAGGTTGCTCAAAGCCTCATCCACCCTGGCCTTCAACACTTCCAGGGAGGGGGCATCCACAACTTCCTTGGGCAACCTGGGACACTGCCTGCCCACCCTCACAGTGAAGAACTTCTTCCTCATATTTCATCTAACCCTCCCCTCTTTCAGCTTAAACCCATTTCCCCTTGTTCTGGCATTAGCTGCCCTTATGAAAAGTCCTTCCCCAGCTTTCTTGTAGCCCCTCCAGGTACTGGGAGGCCGCTATAAGATCTCCCCAGAGCCTTCTCTTCTCCAGGCTGAACAGCCCCAACTCTCTCAGCCTGTCCTCACAGCAGAGCTGCTCCAGCCCTCAGATCATCCTGGTGGCCCTTCTCTGGACTTGTTCTAACTGGTCCATGTCTTTCTTATGTTGGGGGCTCCAGAACTGGACGCAGTACTCCAGGTGGGGCCTTACAAGAGCAGAGTGGAGGGGCAGAATCACCTCCCTTGACCTGCTGTACATGCTTCTCTTGATGCAGCCCAGGATACGGTTGGCATTTGAATTTGTAGGTCTTGAGCAGTGTGTAGCTGGGAGAAGCTGTACCAAGGTTTAGGATGGAAAGCCAGCAGTGGGTCAAACAGAAGGTGTCTAGGCTGCATGGGACCGTATCTCTGCATTGGCTCTGAGCATCCTGTCCTGCAAGTGCCACCAACTTCAGTGTGGCTCCATATCTGAAATTCCCCCTAAGCAAGCACAGAAGAGACTCATCTAGTGGGGGATGTAGTAAACCAACCCTTTCTGCACCTTGGACAGGATTGACCTGTGGCCACTAAGTGTCCTTGACCACTATCTTTGCTACTCCACACAAGAATCATCAAGTCTCAAGGACAAACCTGTCCCAAGATTGCATAGGACCCTAATGCTGTCACCTTACTCCTGCCTTTTGCTGTTCTTTCTTCATCTAATGCTGATAGAAACCTGCCAGATTCACAACCTCATTGCTCAGAGAAAAGCAACCCTTCAGCTTCAAGGTCAGCTTTTCCATGAGGCCCACCAAGGACTGCTTGATGTCCTGAAAAGCATCATTAAAAAGGAAATAAAGATACTTCACTTTCATACTCTTTTGGCCATGACCATAGTAGGACTGTTGGAGGCCCAGGGCCTAGAGCCTTGCCCATTATCAGCCAGGTCAAGCCCAAGTTCCTCTACATGGCATGGACATCGTTGGAGGTCAGTCAGACTCCCCAGTCAGATGACAGAGTCAGTCTCTGCAGGCAGGAATCCATGAACCTGTCACACAAGCAGCCAAAATGATGCACCCAGCATCAAAAGCATCTCCCCTCCTGGGCCCAGCACCCTGAACGCTGATGGCCTCAGTGGTGTTCAACCTCTGCTGCCGCTACTGAGGAAGGCTCAAAACCATCTCCAACCTGACCCAGACCCAGCTCCTCAAAGGTAACTAAGCACTTAAAATGGAAGCGAGAAGCCTTTGAAGACCTGTCTTGTAGGCTACCAAACAGCCATCAGCAGCACTGCCACTACCTTAGGTCTGAGTCAAGCTGCTGAGAAAGACACCATCTCCTGTTAGTAATCCTGGGGACAGCCTGACTCCTTGGTTTTGATGAGCAGCTCCACTGCAGTTGGTGTAGTCATACAGAAAGAGAAGATGGAGCTGACCTAACATCTCCACCTGTACTTGACCCACACCAGTCCCTGGTAGACACAGGGCTCAGGTCCAGACCTTGTTCATCCTAGAGGACCCCAAGTCAAGCCTCAGTCTCCAAACTTGCTTTGCCAAAGCCACCTCCACAACCTGGCATTGAGATACTTGACAAGGGGACTGTAGAGAGAAGAACCTGGCTTAGCCCAGCTGGAGCAGGAAAAGGATTATACCAGCCACTGTGCCACACATGCCCTTGCAGCTGAACCCTGGAAATGTAGAACCTTCCTGAAACCTTGCTACTGCCTTTGATAGGAACAGGTCTCCCACAGAGAGCAGAGATGGCAAAACCCAGAGAGGTCATCACATCCAGCTGTGGTCCTCACGGTGCGTTCTCCACTGCGTTGTGAGCCCTGGAAGACCCTTCTACAGTCTCACAGCCTTCAGGTTGCCCTCCCTGACATTCAGCAAGATACCACCCATGGGTTTACCAGAATGAATGAGAAACCTCTGCCTGTTCCAGCATCCTAGAGGACCTGTTCATCCTAGAGGACCCCAAGTCAAGCCTAAGTCTCCAAACCTGCTTTGCCAAAGCCACCTCCACCACCTGGCATTGAGATACTTGACAAGACGACCAGAATGAATGAGAAACCTCTGCCTATTCCAGCATCCTTGGTTAAGTGACTTATTCTGGCTTAAAACACTCCATGTCCCCCCTGCATGGCAGAAGGAAGTCCCTGCTGTGAAAATGCATCCAGCATGAAGTCTCCAGCCCTCCACCCAATTCCAGGGTCCAGGTTAGTCACAGCATGTTAGGCAAATAAGCCAGTTATGTCTCTAATATGTTATGCCCCTTTTTCTTGATTTTCACCACCCCAGTGATGTCATGCTCGTCACGTTTGTGACTCTCAGGAGTCCTTTTTAGCCAGGCTGGCTTTGATCCTGCATCGCAGGATGTAAGCTGTGATGGCACTACAAGCCACCAGGCCAAAAAAAGAGATGCAGGAGAGATAAATGGAGAAAGGCCCGTGTCTCTTCAGGAAAATCTCCTGCCTGTTCTTGTAATCCAAAAAAATAGCCTCCAGCTGTGACAGGGTGCAGATGGCCAAGAAGATGTGGAAGATCTGATGGGCATGGCCAACGATATCGCAGGAGCCAGGGAAGTACTTCTCAGGGACCGGGCAGGAGAAGAAATAAGCACTGATAAGGAAAAACAGTATCTGGTACGTGTGGTACCAAGCAGCATCTTCCTCACAGCCCCCCAGGTGACACACAACCACCCGGTGAGCGACAGGGCTGATATCCAAGATGAAAGCCAGCCCAGCTGGGATCACCTGGCACATCTTCCTCATGATGGGGTAAGGCCGTCGGTACCGATATTTCGCGTAGCAGCAGCCGGCACAAGACAACCAACCACAGAAAGCAGCTGCTGGCAAGAAGAAAAGCCAGAACTTGTCGTACCAAGCTTGGTCAGAGCTGTAGTAGAAATGGGCCAAGGCACTACCATATTGGTAGATGCTGACTCCAACATAGTCCACAAAGTAGAAGGTATAGTGGTACAGCTCTGATTTGGACTGCAATAGGTGGGCCAAGAGGCTGCAGGTCAAGTAGGTGACAGAGGAGAAGACAAAGATGAGCAAAGGCAAGGACCACGCGTACATAGGTAACTGCTCAGCCTCCACAAACGTCTTGAATCTCAGAAGCACAGCCAACGCTGCCAGGAGATGAGTCCACACGTTGACCACCTCGTTGTGCTTCTGGAAGAGGCTAAGGAAGTAGTACCGCCAGTCCTGGCCGGTGGGACGGTACCCGGTGAGGATGTATGGCTCACGGAAGAGCTGTGGCACCTCACACTCCTTCACCGTACAAGGCATCTTGGGGAAACCATCCTCCAGCAGCCTGGGGAGACGGCTGAGATGCTGCCCGCTGAGGGACAGGGTACTGATCCGCTCCAGGATGGCTGTCATCTCGCTGCGTGCGTGCGGTGGTGGCTTTGAGTCCAGCTCTGGGGAACGTCACCTTCGTGCCCTGCAGGGAGAAGAGAAAGAAGAAATGTTAACGATGATGCATCATCATTAACGTTAATGATGAAGAAATGATAACATTAATGATGATGAAGAAACGTTAATGATGATGATCCAGGCTGGATGAGGCTTTGAGCAACCTGGTCTAGTGGAAGGTGTCCCTGCTGATGGCAGGGGGGTTGGAACTAGATGATCTTTAAGGTCCCTTCCAACCCAAACCATTCTATGCATCGGGGAGAAGAGCGTGCTGCCATTCCTAGGTGGGATAAGCCATGGAGCTATCAAGATGCTGATCCTGCTTTTACGGGAAAGGGGCTTTTCTGGACTCAGCAGACCTAAATTCAGCCTGGAGAAGGATGGCACAGCCCTGTCCTTGCAGTTCAGCCTATGTCACAGGGCACAGCAATGTCACAAGCCTTCCCTTCTTGCCCACTTCCTCAGACACTCAGCTTGGAGCACGTTTAGGAGTAGCCAAGAGCTGCCAAGAAGGGGGTGCAAGAAACAATTAGATGCCAGGAAAGCACCTGATGATTTGAGGAAGGGGATTTTTCACCCCTTTCCCCAGAACAAACTGCTCAGAGACAAAATTGAGGTGGAATGACTCCTCAAAGGGATAACCTGCCTTTCCACACTTAAGTGAAGAGGGTCCCAACCAAACTGTGGAGGCTGAAAATAAGCCTGGCTCCCCTGCCACACAGCTTGGATGTGAGTTGCATGCCTAGGGCTGCTGCAGTGAGTATGCCAGAGGGAGAGAAGGAGAAGTCCACAGTCCCAGTTCTGCAGCCCACATCCCTCCCTGTGTAAGAAGCAGCAGGACTGGGAGGTGAAGGAGAAACGAGGGGCTCCACATCAAGCTGGCTGCAGTTTGGGTATAGTGTTGAAGCCTTTGGAGCATCCATGGAGCCATGCTGAGAAGCTGCCAGAGGAGATGTGCCTGGATGCTCAGAGCAGCCAAACCCCAGGGCTGGGCACTCCTCTGCCTGCTCTGCTCCTTGGCAACCTCCAGAGTTGCTAAGCTCTGCCTGAAAACATTCAGATTCAGGGCACAGCAGGATCCTAATGTCTGGAGACTATCTCACAGCATTGAATTAATTAAACAGTACCCTCCATTTCCTCTTCCACCCCAGATATTTCTCCTCCCTGCTGGTGTTTGTTCCACACAAAAAGAGGAGAACTCATCACACAGATGCCCATGCTTAAAATGAAACTGATAACTGATGCCATCCAGAGGGACCTGGACAGGCTGGGGAGGTGGGCCTGTGCAAACCCCATGGAGTTCAACAAGGCCAAGTGCAAGGTCACCTGGGTCAGGGCAACCCCAAGTACAAATCCAGGCTGGGTGGAGAATGGCTGGAGAGCAGCCCTGAGGAGAAGGACTTGGGGTGCTGGGGGACGAGAAGCTGAACACGAGCCGGCAACGTGCGCTGGCAGCACAGAGGCCAATAACCGTGTCCTGGGCTGCACCCAGAGCAGCGTGGGCAGCAGGTGGAGGGAGGGGATTCTGCCCCTCTGCTCCGCTCTCCTGACACCCCACCTGCAGTGCTGCCTCCAGTGCTGGGGCCACCAACACCACAAGGACAT